CTCTCTCTCTCTCTCTCTCTCTCTCTCTCTCTCTCTCTCTCTCTCTCTCTCTCTCTCTCTCTCTCTCTCTGTGTCTCTCTCTCCCCCTCCCTCCCTCCCATGTCTCTTGCGCGTGCGTTTAGACCATCTCTCTCTCATGTGCGCGCGTGCGCATTTTTTTTTTTAATAAATAAAAAGACGTCGATGGACCACGGATCAGATATGAAACTGAAAGGAGCAGATACTACGCTTGATCTTGTAGGGGCAGGATCCGATACGAGACTGATCAAAGCAGATACTACACTTGATCGTGTGGGGGCGAGGGCAGGGGAGGCGCATAGTTAGTAGATTGGGTTCTCTCTCTCTCTCTGTCTCTGTCTCTGTCTCTGTCGCTCGCTCGCTCATTTTCTCGCGCGTGTGCCTCCTTTTTTTTTTTTCAAGTCTCAATGGACCACGGATCATATATGAAACTGATCGGAGCACATACTGCACTTGATCGTGGAGGCAGGTGGGTCTCTCTCTCTCTCTCTCTCGCGCGCGCGCGCGCTCGCTCGCTCGCTTTCACCCTTCCCCTCATGTTCCCTCCTCCCCCTCCTCTTCCGCCTCACATTGCTGTCGCAGATCCATTTGCTGTCACGACCCTCTCTCTCTCTCTCTCTCTCTCTCTCTCTCTCTCTCATGGCAATACTTCCCTTTTCCCAATCCCGCCGCTGGTATTTCCCCCTTTTTCCACCTCCTATTAAGAGACTTCGCAAGTGGTTCCTCGCTCCCCTAACCCCCACCTATCCGAACTGACTCACCCCCCCCCTCTTCCCCTCCAACTGCCCTCTCCAGCCTCACATCCTTGCCCTCTTAACGAATTCTTCACCCCTCCTCTTGCTGGTCTTTTCCCGCCATAGCCCTTCACCCTGCTTCTCCCCTACTATTACCCATGTTTCGTATTCTACCACCTTGCCCTCAGCCTCCATCTTTTCTTATCTTGCGACCCTATTTTCTCCACTCCACCCTCCACCTCCGCCTTTTAATAGTACTACACCGGCTCTCTCTCTCTCTCTCTCTCTCTCTCTCTCGCGCGCGCGCGCTTCAGTGGGGGCGCGCACAGGCGCACACACCCCGTCATTGAGACCAAACGCCAAATTCAGTGGTAAAGGTCATCAGGGAAAGAACGGAAAAAGAAAGCGACAGACATTTCGTAGATCGGGCGTTCAGAAAGCCAGGAGGGAGGAGGGACGAAAGAGAAAGGAGGGACAAAAGAGAAAGGAGGGACGAAGTAGGGAGGGATGAAGAAGGGAAAAACAAAATGAAACGCATTTCGTGCGGAGAAGGGACGGAGGGAGAATGGAGGAAGGAGGGCAGTCGAACCAAGGAGGGTTTGACGGACAAAGGAGGGGGTGCTGAGGAGGAGCGGAGGGGAATGGAGGCGGTGGAATGGGATTCGCAGAGCAGCCGGAGGGGCTGTCTCTTATACACATCTAGATGTGTATAAGAGACAGCCTCCTCCGCCGCCCTACCTTTGTCCTCCTCCTCCCCATCCTCCTCCTCTTCATCTTCTTCCTCCTCCTCCTCCTCCTCCTCCTCCTCCTCCTCATTGTCTTTATAGGGGCTGAGATCCCTGTTTGCGATGTGTTGATCGTGTCATGCTGGGAAAGATGTCAACCAAGCATCTTACAAAGCAGATTAAGCTCCACTTCATCGTAGAGGGCACCGTAGGGAAGTTTGCATTCAAGGGATCAAAGCACTGGAAGTGCAAGTCCTGTGAGCATCATTTTACCGGGACTGCGACGAAGCTCAGGGCTCACTTCCTCGACAAGTGTAGCCTTGACTGTTGCATGACAAAAATGCCAGTGGAGAAGAGGGCGAGGAGGGAAGAGGGGATATGGCGGGGGAAGTGGCTTGCTCGTGTGTTGATGTACGGAGAGGCCAGAGGGTCCGGCCCCAGCAATTCGCGGACCGCCGCCGGTGACGTCCCTGAGTTTCCTAGCTCACAGGTGGGTGCAGTAGGCATCAGTGGCAAAACACCCACGCCTCAGTCGACCGCAGACACAGTTCTTGGATCGAAGTGTTCCAAGGCAATTCCAAGGGGACCTTTGCGACAAACATTGATCGAGGAGGCTGACAGTGTCATCACGCAGAATGAGCGGACGAGTCGGTTTCTCGACAGGTTTCTGACCTGCACGAACCAGGCGTTCAGTTTAGTGGAGGATGAATACTTCCTGAAGTTCATCGACGCAGTGAAGAAGGCCCATTTGACGTGGATGTCGTGCAAAAGGGATGAACAAAGGACAAAATGTTTGGATGCTCACTATGAGCGAGTAGGGGCGGAGGTGCATTCCCTGATCCAGAAGTGGAAGAAGACCGGGTGTATGCTGCAGATGGACGGGTGGTCCAACCGCCGGAATAAGCCCCATCTAAATGTCATGGTGTCCTCGCCCGTCGTTACGGTCTTCTTGAAGTCTGTGTGCATGGAGGGCAAGGACAAGGACGCCGAAGCTTACTTTCGTGTCTTGGATAGGGTCATCGAAGAGATCAGATCGGATGTAGTCGTCGGCGTCGTCATGGACAATGCAAGGGTGTGCGTCAAGGCAAGGAAGATGATGGAGGCCGGCTATGCTAACATCTATTGCGTTGGATGTGCTGCGCGTGAGCTCGACCTTGTGCTGGAGGACATGTACAAGGACACGACTTGGATGGCGGAGGTGGTTGATGCTGAGAACAGGGTCGGCAACAAGGCGAGGGCTATGTTCAACAACTAATCACAGAAAACGAAGTTGAAGCGTCTGACGAGAACCAGATTTGCCACCAACTTCGAGATGCTTGGGTCTTTGAAGGACCTCAGGAACGCACTGGATCGATGTGTCTGCGATGCAAGATGGGTGGACGAGATGGTACGAGCAGACCAATTGGTGGCATTCCACGAGGTGGCGGCTATCATTCTCGACAAGGGCGGTTCTGGAGCAACCTCAACAAGGCGCTCGATGTGATGCAGCCTGTGGTTGAGCTGCTTCGGCTGGTGGATGATCAAGGACCGACCATTTTGAAGGTGTGGTTGTTCAACGCATGTGTGCCCTCGAGTGCCTTTTATGTGAGGAGCGCAAGGCAGTGGAGCGCATCCTCATGGACCGCTGGTCATTCATGACCAGCGAGCTGCATTGTGCTGCAGCCTTCCTGGATCCTGAGCACCGAATGCACAACACACAATGCGATCCGGAGGTCCGTGCAGGGTTGTACTCCTGGATGCCACGAGGGAGCTGAAGGAAGTGAGCTTCCAGGTTTACCAGTGGGTGAACAATTTGGGGGGGGTCTCCACGGAGCAGGCGTGCCGCCAGGCCAGCCAGCAGCCACCAGGTTTGTGGTGGGAGGCGTTCGGCTCCAAACACGACCTCCTCGCACCACAAGCCATCAAATTGCTTGGCCAGGCAAGCTCTTCCACCGATTGCGAGCGGAACTGGAGCTTGCATGAGCTCATCTACAGCAGGAGGCACATGAAGATCATGTTAGAGAGGATGGCCAAGCTCGTGTACAACAGCTGGAATGTCCGCCTTCTGAGGAGTAACCAGTGTGGCGGGGGGGATGATATCCACATCCCATGGGCGGATGACGTCCCGGTGGAAAAGGAGAAGAGGAGTGGCACGCGGATATGACGTGTGCCCATGGAGACGTGGACATGGAAGAGGTCGCCGTGGTGGATGTCAATGATGAGGAAGGTGACTTTCCACTGCGGCGCACCTTCCAGCGCAATGACGAGGTTGACGAGAGGCTGTGTGACGAGGACTCTGCTCTCGTCGGTACGCGGCAGCATGACTGGCACGAGTGCACGAGCCAAGGAAATACCACAAGCGAGAGTTGCATAGGAGATCAGGCAGCGAGCTGCCCGTGCCTCCGGAGTTGTACACGAAGGAGGGCTATGCTCTTGCGATGGCAGCTCGACAAGCGGGCACATGGGTGGAGGGCCGGGCGGAGGCACCACGAAGGCGGCACAAAAACAAGGGCGAAGGATGATGGCAACGCGCCCGTGCAGTGAGGCAAAAGGAAGGCTGTTGAGCCAGAACAGTCACAACCAAAGAGAGGCCGTTCGACATTGGCAGAACAGGCAGAACGCAGAGCACGGAAGGCCATAGAGAAGGCGGCCAAGGCAGCAGCTGATGCCGCTGCAGCGAAAGCTGCTGCGATCAAAGCCGTTGCGGACAAATCCAAAGCAGCAGCGAGAGCCGGTGCAAGGAATGCTGCCGCAGGCAAGACGAAGAGAGTCGCCTTCATAAATGATGACGACGATGATGATATCCTGGAAGACATCCGGGGAGACGAAGAGCTCAAACGCTCAGCATCGACTTCTTCCAGCTCAAGTTCCTCATCGGAGTTCAGTGTGGGGGAGGGAATGGAGGGTGACGAGAAAGGAGTAGGTGAGGGTGCGGCACATCAGGAGGAGAGCGGGAAGGAAGAATGGGAAAAGGCGGATTAGGGTGCACCCGATGTCCTCTTTTTGTTGTCCGACCTAACAGTGTGAATTTTGAACAATTCATAAGTTCATAACTTCATATCAGTTTTTCTCATTTTTGCTGTTGTGTTCCTCCTTCTTTGCTGTGTGTAATGCATCACTGATTGTTTCCTGTGTTTTTTTGTGATGCCATGTCGCCACTTGATTGCATGGATGCATTGGATGCTGTGACTGCTGCGTCTTCACACTCCGAATGCAGGTGTGTGTTACATCCCCCGTTCAACCTTTCCAATTACGAAAAAAAAAAAAAGAAACAGGAAAAATTTCGCCTGAACGGGACCTGTGCAGGATAAAGCAACACGCAGGCCACATGCTGTGCAGGACAAATGCAGGGCGTATTTGCATTTGGCACACCGAGCGCACAGGCCCCGAAGCTCAGCGCACCATGCGCACAGTGCGCGCGCTGCAAAATGTGCGCACCGCGCACAGCACACTGCCCCGCTCAGCGCACCACATCGGGGCGCCGCAAGTATGGTTATAATACACGGGATACAGGTCTCTGGGAAATCTGGAGCCAGAATGGGACCCGGGCTAAAAAATGTGGGAAATCCTTTCAACTTTCCGTTTTTAAATTGAACAAGTGGACCGCAGACGCGGCGGAGACCACGAGGGAGACTGGAAAAAACTCATTGCAACATGAGGGACAATTTGTTCCTTGCCACAGCCAGGCCGCACCTGACAGGCTGAGCTATATTCTGTGGCCTGGTTGATATGGCAGTGCATCTTCCCATGATCCAGAGAAAGATTCATTCTCGTTTCTCGTTCATGAGGGACGTATTCGAATGTGAGGACGGCGACGACGCGCCTGTGCACTTGTGTTTGAATGTCGGGGAGGCTGCGATGGAGACCACACGATGGAGACGGGTGATGCGATCCAAGTGCGGGAGGGGAAGGCTGCAAGAACTAAATGAAAACGGTGCGGGGGGGCAAGAAATGACCCCGAAAAAAAACGAAACGATGCCCCTGCAAGCAGTGCAAAAATCGGAGGGTGGATAGTGGTGCGGCGAGGCCCTCACCAGATGTGCAAAATGAGAATGAATCTCCTGCTAGATCATGGGAAAATACGCGGCCATATTTTGAACTCGCGGGCGGGGACTCAAAAAGCATACGACTCGGAGCGCTGAACCGATACCCCCCCCCCGGTAGGCCGCGTCGAGACCTCCGCGCACGATTTTTCCTCTGGCCCCGCGGCCTGCTACGACACGAACCGACACCGCCCCCCCGTCACGACCGCGCCCGTCCCGGCTACTGGCCTCCCCAACTGTTGCGCCCTCCTAGGTCTCCTGCGGCACCACGCACGGACCTCCCTGCCCGAATTTCGCTGGGCCCAGCGGGAGCGTCACGCACGGACCGCTTTTTGCTTTAAGGTATAAGAGAAGTTTTCAGCCAACTTTCCTCTTTTCAATCAAATGCTAGACTCCTGCCACTGCATAAGTGTTGTATCCAACATTGAAGCACCAGTACACCACATATCGGCACACGGGTGTCAGCATGAAAACCGCACCACTTCGGAGGCTGCCGATTTTTTTTTTTTTTCCGTGCGGCACCTCCGAGTTTTGCTTGTGGCGACAAAAACTTTTTGCAAGGCTGGGGCCGTGTACTAGCTGTTTAAACCACCAGTAAATGGCCCCGCCCAACTTGAGAATCACGATTCAGCCACTCCTGAATTCCGGAGGCTCGGGGCAACCTGTCAGGAATGGTTGGCGGCACCAGCCCAAGCAAAAACAAAAAAGTCGTGCTGGCGTTCTGGCAAAGATGTACTTGTGGTTTCATCACACACTCTCTGGGCAGCATAAGGGAAATGCTTTCGTGTTGAAAAGATAGCATGGATAATTGGCTTGGAAATTGGAATTGCCCCTCAGGACGAACACACCACCCAGATAGGGATCCACGGATGAGAAGGTGCACAGAGAAACATGGCTCAATTTGCAGCACATAGTCCATGGTTGAAGAGCTTCGTAGGTAGATGTTAAACGAATCCCTCCACTTTTCTCCTTAGAAAAGGCCCTCAGACTGGCTCTTTGAACTTGTACCATCTTTCCGACCCTTTCCTCAGGGAAGATCTTTAGCTTAGCATACTTAAAACTGGTGCAGATGTCTCCTACCCACCCTCCATTCTGAAACGGTTTCACCCAGTTGACCTTTTACTGCAGTCACAGAGATTCGATCCCTAGACCTGTGCCCTAACCCTGTACATTGACCCTGTGTGCTGAGTGAGATTTGATCCCTAGACCTACCCTGTACCTGTACATAGACCCCRTGACCTGAGTAGGATTCGATCCCCAAACCTGTCCTACGACTTAGGTTAGTCTGTAGTTTGGTCAGTAGGACTTGATCCCTAGGTCTGTAGATTAGCAGCTAGGTCTGTCACCAATAGGCCTAGAAAGCCTGTTCTAGAAGTCTCTACTGAGTCTGTCGAAAGTCTGTAGAGTCTGTAGGTTCCAGCAGTCCGTAGGGTTCTGTA